CTCGAAGACGAAATCAGTATATTCTAGTAATTAACTGCAATCTTACTAAATTTACTATGATTTTTCCCCTTAAACGTGCTACTACAGCTAATATTATTAATGTTTTGGAAAATTCAGTTTTTCTAGTTCATGGCATTCCCCAAACTATTATAATGGACAATGCTGTTCAATTTCAGTCGCGAGAATTCCACTCATTCTTAAATTCTTATAACGTTCCTTTTATTTTTCACACAGCTTTATATTGTCCTCAGGTTAATCCTACGGAGAAGTTTAATAGTACAATTATTACAGCTCTAGCATCTCTAGTAGGAGACGATCATAGATCATGGGACAACCATCTTACTAAAATTCAGTACGCAATGAACAGCGCTACAAATGTAGCTACTGGCTTTACTCCAAACTTTTTAGTCTTTGGTAGGGAAACAATACCTTGTGGTTCCTTCTATACTCCATCTCAGAACCTCGAGGAATTAATATTTATGCCTCGTGATATTTACGCGTCTAATGCTGGTCTCCTCTCATCTATCTTTCACAAAGTTCAAACTAAACTTCACATAGCGCACGCTAAAAATAGCGCTCGCTATGATCTTCGCCGGGCTTGTAAAGAATTTAATGTGGGAGATACTGTTTGGCGTAAAAATCATGTTTTAAGCAATGCCGGCGCATACTTTAATGCTAAACTTGCCCCTAAGTTCATCAAGTGCAAAGTGATAGCTAAACTGTCACCAATAGTCTATGTACTTGAAGACCCTAATGGAGTTAGAGGCAAGTGGCACATCAAAGATGTAAAATCATAAATTTTCTTAACTTTTATTAACTATTAATTTGTATATATGTATAAATATCACCATCATTCTCACCTTATTATTTTTATTTCTTTTAATTTGTTTGTTTGTTTGATGATCCAGTGTTCTTCAACACATCTTGCTTTAGGACCTCGAACTTTCGTTGGTTAATCGTCACTTTTTATTTTTATTTCAGACACATCTCGTTGGTGATGTTGCTGTTTTCTGGCTTTGAGCCCTACCGCTCTGGCCGTTCTTAATCTTTACTTAAGTCATAGCGACTAAAGCTTACTTGAGGTATTTCTTTATCTTTATCTTCACTTGGGAGCGGCTGATTACTCCCTTAATAATTTTTTTTTATCTTCACGCAGGAGCGGATGACAACTCCTTAAATAAGCCTGAATGTCCTTTCGAAAACACACTTTTAAGAGTGGTGTTTTTTCGACTAATTTATTTTTTTTTCCACGCAGGAGCGGATGACTACTCCTTAAATAAGCCTTAATGTCGTTTCGAAAACACACTTTTAGAGTGGTAGTCATTGAATGTGAACTCCACCCTTACCTGAATGGCAGATGATGTATGTAAGAGATAGTATATCTGATTTTGCCTGGTGATGTCTGTTTCTGCAAAGCTGTGTTTTTATGGTTTATTTTAGAATGTATATATCAAAATTTTTGCTGAGTCAAAAATTTTCCAGGGTCGGGGGGAAAATGTAGTGTTATACTACTTACATATATCATTTTACATTATTTTAAATTCATTTTTCCATTCTGTTTCGATTTTCTGCATTCACTTCAAAACTGTATATTCTACATCACCTTTATTTCCATAGGATCCTGTAACGATTTTAAACCATAAGAACACAATAACAAATCATTTCTACTTCGAATTATCACATTATCAGCACTTTTAAATTGGTGTCAATGGAGTCTACCTTTTTTCGATCTTTTAGCTAGTTTTCCGTAACTCTACAATCTTGGGCTTAGTGTGGGCAGCTGCGCTACCTTTTTCACTACACTATATCAATATTATCTCATTTTCCACTTAAATCTTACCGTTTTCTTATTATAAACCAAAAACAAAAATTTGACATGTTTTGTCTTTCTTATTTATATCGTTTCCATGGTGATTATATTCAAATTTGCTACCGATCTGTTATTCCTATTTCGATAATTTCACATAAATCCTCTTTTCTCTTGACCATTTACAAAAAATTTGCGTATAATTTAAATAATTTTTCCGTTCTCTCTAGAAAGGTATAAAAGCCGAACAATCGGTGAAGAAAGGCAGTCTCGCTTCAGTTCGCGAATTAGAAGTATCTCCTAAAGGCCTTATCCCGGGGCCGCACTGCCCCGGGATCCTGCAAGCCTCCATTTACACGTGAAGTCTTCGGCGAAGCCTTCTTAAAACTCGGGCCGCGCCACTCCGGAATCCTACAAGCCTCCATCTACCTCGGAAGTCGCTTCGAGTCTACTACAAGCGCGGGGGCCACACTACTCCGGGCACTATTACTACTTACTCCAGGCGCCGAGTGCACCTACCGCCGGCGCTACCTTTGGGTGCTGCAACTGCTGGTTCTAAGCGTTGAGCGCCCCTTCTCCAGGCGCTACGTGCGCCGGCTCCGGACGCTGCGTGTACTGGCTCCAGGCGCTGCGCGCCGTCGCTGCTAAGAAAACCTACCTCTACAAGCGCAAACGGCGTGTGCTGGCTTCAGGCGCTGCGTGCCGTCGCTGCTAAGAAACCTACTTCTACAAACGCAACGTGTGTCGCTTCGACTTTTAGGCCCCACTACAACACTATATTCCCCTATTCTCTCACCTTTATTTATTTTTTTTATAATCTAATTGTACTCTCACTTCATTCATCATCATCCTCATTCCATTTTTTTTATAAAATTGTAAATACCTTTTATAAATTTAAATATATTGTTTTCTGGCTCTACTTTTGTTGTTTTGTTGTACTTAGGTTAGGTTCTATTTTTTTTTTTAATTGTCGCTTCACGACATCAGATGAAAAGACCGCAGGTAGAGCATATAAAGGCGATGTAAATTCAATCCTTAAATATGGGTTAATAATAAGGGGGAATCAATAAATAAATGTTTAAGAGATATTTGTAGAGTAAGCCCACTTGACTTCTGTAAACTTCTGTTAATAAAACTTAATTTGCTGTCATTGACTTTCTTTTCATTCTTGAAGTATCAGTCTTTGTAAGGAAGTATAACGATATTTACAAATTCAAGGGGGATCATGTTACTAAATACAGACCAAGAGATCCTACTACAATAATGGTTTAATTTTGTAGAACAACTTTAAATAAAAATAATGTTTATCATGAGTGTTTTACATTTCAGTAGGGTTCTTCGGCGTAAACTTAAAATTTTCGTCTCATAAAATAAATAATATCACCACACAGACATATTTATTATAATTTCACAACTCTTTATTTACTGGTTTAAAGTTACTATTAATAATTGTTAGGTATCATTCTCCTTAAAGCTATGATCAAAGAGAGGTTAATCTCGGCAGACCCGCGGGAAGGACAACTCGACGACGGATCTTTTTCCGTCGTTCTCATTGGCTAACGGACCAAGTACAGGCAGAGAGAAAGGAGTAAAGTATTGCCGCGTTATACTCTCCTCCTCCTAGTTACAAGTGCGTTTCGTTTGTGACTTGGCAAAGACAATTCGCAGCTTCCAAACTAACGCGGACGTCCTCAGGGACGTCTTGGTCTAACCGGTACAGCATCACTTCTTACGTCATTGTGGAACAAAGTGAGATCGGAAGAATGGAATTTTCCTACACTAGCACCGGATGATATATCACTAATTAAATATGTACTTGGACTTATTTGTCGAGAGATTTTGCAAGGACCGTCTCTTTATGGAAGAAATTTTTGCGTTAAGCCTTGGGATGAATTGCTAGTGAGATGAGTTTTTACCAATACCATGTTATCTATTTGGTACTGAGGTGATAATTGACGCCGATTGTCTTGTACTGCTTTTGCCCTATCTTGATTTAGTTCCGATTTATCACGGACTTCATCGAGTCGTTTAATAAAATTACCTAGATATGGCGTACTCTGAGGAACGAAGTTTTCTTTAGAGAGCCCTCAAATCACGCTGTGAGTCGTAAGGCGTTTGCATCTCTCGAGTAAACATTAAAAAAGCAGGGCTACAGCCAGTAGTGGAGCACTTTGCAGAATTAATAGAAAATCTAATTTCGGGCAGATACTTTGGCCACGCTCTATGATTGTTCTGGACCAGAATCGAAAGCTGTGTTTTGAGCTCTGTTTTTTCGTTCGGTCGGGTTTACTTCCGGATGATAGAGAGGAATAAGATTTTGCTTAATATCAAGGAGGTGCATAGTTTGTTGCATAACAGCTGATACAAACTGTACTCCATTATTAGAGACAATTCTCCTAGGAAACCTATATCTAAGGAAGTATTGTTCGATAAGTATTTTAGCTGTTACTTCTGTAGTAGCTACTTTAAATGCAAACAGTTCCACCCATCGAGTAGCGGTGTCTTCTATAAGGAGATATAATATCTTTGACATTCTTCACAATTTTTAAGATATTCTGTAACAAATTTTGTCATTGAAATAAAGTATTACCTCTGTTTCAGACGTTGTAGCATTCGTTTCAGACGCTGATGACCCGCAGTCGGTACATCATGTACCTCTTGCAGAATGCTCGTTCTCATCGCAGCGGGAATGACTAATTGGGGCTCCTCGGCGTCTGATTCAGGACTTAAACGATAGAGAACACCTTGTGACATTAAATAACCGCGTTTCAGCAATCGACTAGAAATTAGAATATCTGTGTTCTCTAGATCCTGGACTGTTCTTAATTTTTTCTTGTTAATTTTATTTCTTGCTAAATTTGTTTCTTAATTTCTGTGTCAGCCAGTTGGGAAGCACGTAGTTCTGATAGGCTTACCCGAGGTACATCTATGATCACTGAACAGGTACTAAAAGCATTGCAGTCGTCATGCACAGGGCGACTGAGTGTATCTGCAATGATATTTGCTTTTCCTGGTGTGTTATTCAAAACGAATATCGTAGGGTTGTAAAGCCCATCTAGAGTACGAGTCAGCCACTAGGTAATTTAAAAGACGGGAGACATTTTAAGGGTTGATGTTCACTTTTTACTATAACTGGATGACCTTAAATATATGGTCGAAACTTTTCAATTGCCTATACAACAGCAAGGGCCTCTCACTCAGTCGTTGAGTATCGTTGTTCTGCAGGTGTTAAAAGTCTGCTGGCGTACTCTATTACGCGTTCGTCAGGATGCTCGCTTTGAACCTGCATGAGAGCTGCACCAAGAGCATGATTGCTGGCATCAGTTCGTACCAAAAATTGAAGATAGTCGACTTGTATTAAAATAGGTGAAGACGTAAGCTTTATCTTCAGTTCATCGAACACCTTGCGCTGGTCTTCACCCCATGACCATGGTTCATGTTTTCTGGTGAGCTTAGTAAGAGGGTGAACAATCCCTGAGAAGTTTTGTACACATTTGCGAAACCAAGTGCAGGTCTTTAATAAGGTTTTGAGCTGTTTGACATTAGTTGGTTCCTTCATAGTGAGTATCGCTTGTACCTTGGTCTCATTAGGCTTAATTCCTTCAGGAATCAAGAGGTGACCAAGATATTTTACTCTGTACAGGCAAAGGAGCATTTCTCATGATTTGCTCGAAGACCAAATTGCCGAAGACGATCAAATACCAATTGTACATCTTTCATATGTAGATCTAGATTTCTTTTCGACATTACAAGGAGGTTGTCTAAGTACGCCAAGACGACAGTGTTCTTTAAAGTACCTCCATATCAAAATCTGTCCATCAATCTCTAAAAGGTGGATGAACCATTTTTAAGCCAAAAGGTATGCGCGTAAAACGAAAGGTACCAAACGGAGTAATAAAACATGTTTTGTATCGATCTTTTGGAGCCACACTTACTTGCCAGTATCCTGGCTTTAGGTCAATAGTGCTGATAAAACAATGACGTTTGGTGCATTGAAATAGCTCGTCAATAGAAGGAAGAGGATAAGTATCGGTATTATTAATACTATTAAGTTTGCGGTGATCCACACAATACCTAACATTGTTACCTTTTTTTTGGTATCAAGACGGCGGGTGAGGACCACGCGGATTCGCATTCTTCGATTATCCTTTCTTGAAACATTTTCTCCAATTCTGCTTTGATAATTTCTTTCTTTGCCGGTAAGGCGGGACTGATATAGGTGGATGATCACCAGTATCAATATAATGTTCGGCATATGTTGTTCACGCTCCTCATAGACTAATGGTGTCTGAATTCTCTTTCAGCAGGTTACCTAATTTATGACGGTCTTCAGGGTTAAACATTGTAGCTTCATTCCCACGAAGAAAATCTGCAGAGGCACAAGACTCAAAATAGCTTAAAGGTTCGAACTCCAGTGAATACAATTTTGGGTCGTCCGAAAATTTCCAGGTGAAGATTTTCGACACAAATATTTGTATAGACAGAAAAATCTATACAAATACCTGCAGCTGTAAGGAAATCTATTCCTAACAAGTTTTGATTATTTTCAGCGTCTGGTAAAACAACAAAATCGAGTGCGACTTGCTTTCCAGGTTTTACCTGTAAATTCGTAATTAGTACCTGGCGTATTTTAATCAAACCCGAAGTTTAACACGCATTGAAGTACTAGTGAAGTGCTGTTTGTATTAGTAGAGAGTACAGCTGACAATCGGCTATACTTCTCTTCGCTGTAGTATCTATTAATGCACGACCTCGAACTCCATGATTCTGGATGCCTAAAATCGGCCTAGGGTGTGATTAGGGCAACAATGAAATGTTGGTTTGTGAATTATAACAATTTCCAATATCATACGGAAGCGTAGTATTAGATTCTTTATTAAGATCATGCGATAGACTGGCATTTAAATTATGTGCAAAAGAATCTATCGAAAATAAACATACCTCCTTCGATTTATTATTATTACCATTTAAAACATGGGATGAAGTAAATTCTTTGCTTGGATATAACAGTGAATATTTTTCAATTTCTGAAATCATGGTACCCCTATTCTTGTTAAAATTTGTCCCACTTTTAGGGTTAAAACCCATGGTCACCTAATTATTCGAACGTACTACGACTGGTGCACTAAAGAAGCATTTAGGTAATACGGACACAAAATCTTATGAGGTAACACACATAAAAAAACATACAGTCGAATTGAGTACCGTCTCCTTTTTGAAAGTCGGCAGAAAACTGACATAAACTGTTTAGGTAGAAATATATATATATATATATATATATATATATATATATATATATATATATATATATATATATGATAAGAAACTTTACGTTTAAAATGGTTTAGTGAGAAAAAACGTATAGGAAGACAATTTTTAAATTTTGTGGGCACAGTACACAGTATTGTTATTATTATCATTATTAAATTTTTCAATCTTTTTAAAATACGACTGCGATTTTATATCGTAATTATCACTTGGAGAGGAAAGGATATACGGTGTAGATACATGTAACGAACAATTAAAGCTATTAAAATTAAGATTACAATGACTCACCTGAGTTAGAAAGAAAGAAGAAAGAAAGAAAGAAACATTTATTTGCACAGAATATAGGTGGTACTAGATTTAAGAGCGGTGCATAGTTCATGCTATATTCTGCCTTTAATAGGCATGCAAATATTTATAATTATATAAAACAATTAAAATACTATTATGTTACTTACAAAAATGTGAAGTTATGTTAGTATTTATCATAAATGATATACAAAATATTATTATTATTATATATTATTATTATTATATTATATTTTTTTATTATATTACATTTAATTATTATTATATATTGCTATTATTATATTACATTTTATTCAATATTACAAATAATCATATACATTAGTTTTATGTTGCATGAACTCTTGTATCGTATAAAAACACTTATCCACTAGCCATTTTCTTAACTTAATTTTAAAATATTTTAATGGAAGTTCCCGTAGACTCTTAGGCAATTAATTAAAAACTGATATGCAAATATGATATACATTCCGTTTATTTAAAGCTGTTCTACAAGATGGAATCATTATTCTAGTTGGATCTCTTGGTCTGTATTTACTAAAATGATCCCCCTTGAATTTAAAAAAATCGTTATACTTCCTTACAAAGACTGATACCTCAAGAACATACATGCAGGTTAATGTCAGTAAATTAAGTTTTTTAAATAAAGGTTTACAGGAGTCAAGTGGACTTGCTCCACAAATAGCTCTTAAACATTTATTTTGTGCAATGAATGCTTGACCAACATCAGTCGAATTCCCCCATATTATTAACCCATATCTAAGGATTGATTCTACATAGCCTTTATACGCTATACCTACAGTCTTTTCATCTGATACGGTCCGAAGCTTTCTAAGGGCATAAGAAAATCTGTTTAGTTTGAGACAAGCATCATTTACATGTTGTTTCCAATTACAAAATCTGTCCAAAGTTATACCCAAAAATTTAATGCTGTCAGCTTCTTCTATATTGTCATTTTCTATTTTTATGTTAATGTTATTATCAGGGCGTTTACTTTTATTCGTACCAAATTTGTGGATTACTGGTACTTATTATCTTTGTGGGCGAAATAGTTTACCTCGACAGAGTTAAATTGAGTTACATTTTGTACATTCTGAACGGATCACTCCTTTCTCTCCGCAACCGTAACACTTTATATTAGCCGTAGACGAAACAATGTCCTTATTACAATCTTGTTTTCTCAATTTACGACATTCCTCACGTCTATGTCCATAGTTTTTACAACAAATACAATACTTTCTCGAGACTTTGAATTGCTTATTTTCATTCGGGTTTTCGATCATAGGTGGTTTGGGTTCCACTGGGAAGATCGAAGACGTATTTGTGTTTGTGACACGAGTAGAATAGAATAGAATAGAATGATTTTTATTCAATATGGATTATTACATAATACTTATTGAAAGTCATTATTTTATTTACCACTGGTTCGGAAAATACCTCTGTCCTGGGAAGAACCAGCAAGAAACCCAGCGGGACTTTTTTTTAAACATAATTTCACTTAACAATAATTTTGTTTATACAATTTTAAATGAATTTTCATAGAACCACCATGGTGGCGATCACCTTATTTCCAGGGGTTATTTTCATTCATGTATTCCTTGATATTATAATAACCCTTTTTGTACAGTTTTTCTTTAATAAAACTTTTAAACTTGTTTATTGACAAACTTTGAACATGTTCTGGGATTCTGTTGTAAAAGCGTATACATTGCCCCATAAATGAATTACTAATTCTGTGGAGTCTAGTAAGTGGCATTACAAGCTTATGTTTGTTCCTAGTGTTTAAGGTATGAACATCCTTATTCTTATTAAAGCTATTTATGTTTTTATGTACATACATTACATTTTCATAAATATATTGCGATGCTAAAATTAATATGTTTATTTCTTTAAATTTTTCTCTAAGGGACTCTTTACAATTTTGATTATAAATCGCCCCTACGGCTCTCTTTTGCAAAACAAATATAGCTTCAATATCAGTCGCCCATAGCAAAATTCCATAAGACATTACGCTATGAAAGTAACTAAAATACACTAACTCAGCTGTCTCAACATCTGTGAGACTTCTAATCTTTCTTACAGCATATGCTGCAGAACTAAGTCTGCTTGCTAATTTAGATATATGGGGGCCCATTGAAGTTTCGCGTCAATAGTAATACCGAGAAAAACAGTGGTATCCACAAGACTCAACTCCTCCCCATTTATGAGTACATTGGTTTTCGAATGTTTTACATTAGGTATTGTAAATTTAATACATTTTGTCTTATTGCCGTTTAAGAGCAAATTGTTGGCGTTAAACCAATGTACTAGTTTCGATAGAGCATTATTTACATCGTCATATTTAATTGACTGCCGTTTCAGTTTGAAAATTAAAGAGGTATCGTCAGCAAATAATACTATATCGTGATTGTCCCCTACAAGATAAGGTAAGTCATTAATATAGATTAAGAACAGCCCTGAGGAACGCTCATTGATACTACGGATCCGGAGGAACATTTACCATTAATGACGACTTTTTGAGTTCTGTTACTTAAATATGAAGTAATAAGTTTAAGCGCCAAATTTTTTACACCGTAATGTTGTAGTTTCCTGATTAATGTATCATGATGAACACAATCAAAAGCCTTGGAAAGGTCACAGAAAATACCTAAGGCGTCTTGTGAATTCTCCCAGGAATTAAAAATATATTTCATAAGCTCAACACCGGCGTTAGACGTCGAGCGACCCCTTGTAAAACCAAATAGATTTTTATGAAGTAATTTATTTGTATTAAAAAAAAATTAACAATTGATCCCAAATTATTTTTTCAAAAATTTTACTGAGAGTTGGTAGTACAGAAATAGGTCTTAAATTAGCGAGGTCCAATGTACTACCAGATTTAAATAAAGGTATTACTTTACTATACTTCATTAAATCAGAAAACACACCAGAATCGATACAAGTATTAAAAATAATAGCAAGATGAGGTGCAATTAAATCTATTATGGACGCAATCACTGTAACGGAAATCCCCCAAAAATCTGCGGTTTTCTTTACGTCAATGGTTTTGAAGTATTTTACAATATTATGCGGTAATACTTTTTC